TTTATTATGTTCACCTGCCCAAAGTACTTTATTTTTAAGCACTATTTTTCTGAAAGCTTTCAGTGAGAAAATGGTATCTAAATGCATGTAATCTATAATAGCTCTCCTGTTATATTGTTTAGCTGCTTTTATCACTTTTGAACTTTTGATCTTGAAGGTGGTGAGATCTGGTTTTATTACCTAAAATACAGGTTGCAACATTTCAACTATGTTCATAAACTATATGGGAAAATAAGAAACTTCTCAAAGACCTCTATTTCCGAATATTGTTAAGAATGTGAAAGAGCCATGGAATTAGAACATACCAAGGAAAAGGTAGAAAAGAGGACTTTATATGAGAAATCTCTATTATAACTTAGTCACTTGGCTATTTGTGCCTGCCATTTTGGCCCCTTCTATCATTCCTAGCAGATAACTCTGGAATACACAGTCCTTCCTATGATATAAAGGGAAATGAAAGCAGTCAATAGAAGATAAATGGAATATATAATACTTGATATGCCTACTAAGGAAGGTGTATATGTCAGACCATATTATTTAATGAACTGTTTCTTCTACAGAAGTAACTTTTTCATATTTAATATGAAATACTAATATGTAGGAGATAGAGTCTGTTTTAAAGGTTTATATTACTTAAAGCTCAGCAGCCCTTAGTATTTAAAATACAACTTTCTAAATAATTCTTAGATGTTTAATGTCACTAAAAAAAAATCTTGTTTTGAGGTTAATGCATTTTAAATTGTAGTGTTACAGTCCTTGGTTCCAGCCTCAAGCTCTTCTTGGAAACAAAATCTTCTCCTGGAATCATATTTAGGTGGCATTCAGAAAGAATGGGTTTGATCATCTTTTGGCAAAAATGCATTCTGAAGATCTATCTCACTTTGCGTTATTTGCAAATTCTGCTTATTCCTCTGCTTTCACATCTCCCATCAATTCTGTAATTAATAAGATCTTGTGCTACTCTAATCATCATAGTATCACAGAACCTTTCAGCAGAGCATAATGTTATTAATAACATACAAAAGTTTGCTTGTTCTCCCTTCATCTTTGAGAGAATTGTGTGTACTGGCATGTGTGTGTTCATTTGGTTTTTTTTTTTTTCTTTTTTTTTTCTTCTTTGATTCAGGTTCTTGTTTGGTAGAGAAGGAATGATCACAACACTTGATTGAACTATAAAGGAGAGTTTTTAATGGCTTTAATTCCTGTGGAACCTTACCATTATCTTGCAATAAGCCTGTAAAAATTTTATTCTGAAACAGTAGGTTAAATTATAACCTGCTTCCATATACCTTGCTGGAGTTGCCTAAACTAGTTGATTAGTGTCTGCTATTTCTTGCCTCAACAGTTTAGAGAACGTGCTTCTAAGCTCAGGCATCACGTTGGATGCCCTTTTGGGAAGTGGAGTATTTAATGAACTCTGCAAGTGACTTCCATGCAGTCTTTCAAAACTTCATTCTAGGTTTATTTTTTAAACTTATTTTGAGCCGGTATATGAAAAAAGCAAGGCAAAAAGACTTGTGAGCTGCTCTGAGAAGGCGGACTTGTTTGCCGCTTTGAGGTGACCTTTAGGATGTGAATCATCTTTCCTGGGTAACGAAGTGCAATAGGTTGTTCATTTGGAGGCACAGATTGGTGTTTGTAGCTTGAGAAAGTCACTTTCCATTACCGTGGCACCTTCGTAGTTCCTCCTAGGGAAAAGTGTGTAGTTTGCTCTTTAACTGTCTTGTTTTTGGTTCTCTGAGCCCAGTTTTGCTTCTTGGTATTTGATGGCTTAACTTTACCTGACCTTTTAGAGGCATGCCTATATGTCTGCAAGTGACTGCAGAGGAGCTAACTGTAAATATCAAACACCTGAGCTGACTCCTGTCCTGGGCATAAAGTGCTTGGGTTGGTAACTGGAGTGGTGGAGATGCCCTGGCTGGGAGGAAGTCATGAGCAGTCCTGTGCTCATCACAGCTGCTTCAGGCCCAAAATGCTGCTGGTCGGAGGAGCACCTGGCACCTTAGCTCAAACATATTTAAGAGAGTGGCTGGTAGTAGGAGTAGGTGGCATGAGAGATGTTGAGGGAGGGGTATGAAGAGGAGATGGGAGGAAGTGCAAAAGGAAATGTGTGAGGAGATACCTGAAGAGATGTATTTGGAGGACAAGGAGGAGGCATGTGGAAGGGGACATGCTGGAGACACTGGATGGAGTTGCAGTCCTGAAAGAAGGTCAGGATCCCTGTGATCAGGGGTAGGGACCAGAGCCCGAGTAGAGGAGCAGTAAGAAGGAAGAGCCACTGGGGGATGAGAGCAGGAACCCAGGAGCAGCAGAAAGAATCTCCAAGGCAGTGGACCCAACCTCCTGCACAGCCTGTCACCTCACGGATGTGATTTAGGAGCCCGTGAGCATGGTGAGCGGAAAAAAGTGAGGGAAACTGAGGCTAGGAAGTGGGAGAAAAGGTGTTTGAAGCTGAGCCTGGGGAAAGGTTTCCCCAGGTGTTTAATTTTTGGGATTCTCTTCTCTTCTTTTTCCTCCTCTTTTTTTTCTCCAACACCTGAATCGGTATTTAATTTATTGCTAATTAACTTAAACATTTAATTAATGAGATTCTCTGAGTTGAGACTATTTTGCCAGCAATTCTGCCCTGATTCTCAAAGGCGTTCCAGCACAGGCATTACCTGAGTGAAAAGAGCCTGTGGAAAGTGTAGCAGTAGAGATAAGTGTGGTATTTAATAAATATTCCCTTAAACTTAGTTGGTTGCATTGTTGTTATGAGTAAATAATTTGTTCCTCCTCACAAAATGGGGGAAAACATACAGTATTAGGCATGCACTGTTTCTCAATTCTGATTTTTTTTTTTTTTTTTTTTTTTAAATCTAGGTGGAACTAAGCAGCACTGTTGAACTTGCTTCGCTTTATCCTTCATATGAAAATTGGATTTTCGTATTTAATCACTAAAACATGACAGGGGAAAAAATCTAAAGCATGAACCACCTGTTTTTCCTTTCATCTTTGCTCATTCATTAGCTTTCTCATATTAAAAGCCCTCTAAGATACAATTAACACCCCCCCCTTTTTTAATATTGTGGAGCTTGAAATGATCATTAAAACTCATTAAAGCGGAGAAACTTATTTTCAAAGGCACTTTACTATTAAATTTTCCTGATTTCTTTTCTTGTGCTTAGGATGGCATACTCAGGGTACGGCCATCATGGTTACAGTGTTAACTAGCTATTCAAGTAATTAACAATAATTGGTTGCTTATCACTGCAGAACTGCAATCTGCTTTACAAACTTTGAAATAATTTTGTATAATGAATGTTGTCTTCTGAGTGCAGGCTACTCTGCTAATGATGTTGTCAGCAAGTCCTTTCTGTCCACCAAGAAGAAAATCTGATTGAGGATAAAACACATTACTAGAAGGCCTGGCTGTTTTTCCTCTCCAAGTTCCCTTGCATTAGGGATTGTGTTGTTGCGACAAGAAAGCAAATGCTTGCGTTTTGTAACTGATCGAATTATTCTTGTTTTTAATATATTAAAATACATAAAATGCACAGGCATGCAGTCAGCTGTGTATTAACACTGACTTCACTGCTGTTGCATAGGTATAAGTGCCGTCTCATTTAAAAAGAAAAAGATATATATTTTTTTTGGTTTCTGTAAATTGTAGAGCCTACTGCAACATTATACAATAATAGTCCTGGAATTTAGTTGTTGATTAGAACAGAGAAAATTTGGAAGAGATTTCCAAGCTTTGGTTTAAAAAGCATATGCCTTTGTAGGATTAAAATGGTAGTGACTAATTACAGAGAGTTTTGGATATGTAATGATGACTTTAAAGCAATGAACTAACTGCCTAAGTTTTTAGTTTATGGCTAGAAATGCAGTAGAAGTGTCATGAAACACCATTAAACTGTTGACTAACTTCTCCTGCTAATATTAGTAATAAGAAAGTGGGGTTTACCCAGTATGATTGTAGCGTTTAGTATAGATTTTATTAGGCAAATTTAGTTAAGAGATGTAATAGTGTATTATACAATCATAGGCTATTTTATAATCCGCTTTCCTTGAAACAGAATCTTGATAGGGGACATAATGTTGATAGCTTATTACACCACAGAAGTGAGTGTAGTGAGTCTTTATGTGGGTCATTTGCTACTAAAATTTCTAATTTTGTCTTAAAGCTATGGCAAAAGGAGCACTGTGACAGAATGTGCTTTTGATTCTTATGAACCACATTTGGTAAATGAAATTGCAATTAAAATTAGTTGTTCTATTTTCTAAAATTCAATTTTGAAAACAATTGCCTTCTGTCTTTAATGGACTATTTGGACTCTTCGTATTCTGAAAACACTAGTTCTTATATTCTTACCTACTTATCTTAAGCATTTTAAATAATTAGTAGAATGGGATTTTAAATGCTTAGTGTCAGTCTAGCTCTATCCAACAGAAGATATATATATATAAAAAAAAAATGTCAAGAACTCAAGTTGGTGCTTATTAAGCCCTGCATGATGATGTAAAAAAAAAAAAAATGTCAAGAACTTAAGTTGGTGCTTATCAAGCCCTGCATGATGATCCTCTTACCTGCCTCCTCAGTGAAGTTAAGGAGTTTTAAAATGTTACTGTGGACTTAATTCAAAGCCTGATAATAGCATATAAAGGGGCAGATCTTAAAGTTCCAATCATCTGGGCTTCTTTTTATTCTTTAGAAAGCAAAATGTAATAGAGGCAAAAACTTTATAAGAAAAAAGTGTTAGTGAGAAAGTGTACTCAGATATATCAATATAAAGACATAGGATGAAAATATAAAAGAGGAAATGTAGCATGAGTTGCTATTGAGAACAATTCCGGCATTTCAAGAAACAATGCAAGTCTTATGAAGATATGTTACTATTCATTACTGCCTAGTTGTGCCACGTGCTCTAGGTGAAATGACTGTCGTAATTATTTTTCACTACATTGGAAACAAATGTGATTCTTTTGTGATTAAAATACTTTTTATCCTTCTTTTTAAGGTGTGGGATGCTGTGGATGCAGGCTGCTGTTTAAAAACATATTCCTGTCATTACTGTGCTGTTCGAGCTGCCCAGTGGTCGTCTTGTGGAAGAAGAATTCTTAGTGGGGGCTTTGATTCCATGCTTCATTTGACAGATGTTGAAACAGGTAAAGAGCACGCAAGCATATGTTTTAGCCCTCTTTGTATGGTTTTTGTGTAGAGCCAACTTTGGAGCTTGTTACCTTTACCTTTTCTTCCAAAATTGAAGGTAAATTATCCCCAGATAAAAGACATAATTCTTAAAATATGTCATTATTAGAAAATAACATGGCAATTTAAGGTATTGAAGGAGTATTGAAGAAGTACAGGGTAGCTTTTCTTTCATTATCTCATGTAATTGTTTGATACTGCACAAATGATCGTTCTGGAAAAAAATTTTGCATAATTTTTGTTTCTCCAACTCTGTCATGAACATTCATTAATGTGTTCAAAGAGCCTCTTAAGGTTAATTTCAGTAACACTTGTACATAAGCATAATTTAAATGTAAACCTGTATTTTATCCTTTTGTTAGATTTTAAGTTTGTACATATAAGTCTTTTGCTGAAGAAGAGATTAATTAGGAGTATGGAAACGTAAATTTTCATATGGAATCTTGAAGCTCGATCTTTGTTGTTTTAGTGTAGTCTTCAATTTGATTTTGAATTTGATTGTTGCGCCCTTAAGTGATTTTCTAGGGGCTGCATTTTCTTGTGTTTTTGTAACAAACCAAAGTGATTGTCAATTATACTTTTTCTATCTCTTATATGAGTTATAGTCATGGATATGGTATCATTCATTGCGGTTGTGATAGGTCACATCTGTGTGTGAATAAATGCGGGATAAGACCTAAAAATCTCAACTGAAGAGATGCAATCCTATTTTGTACTTAATTTATTTTTAAGCTTTTAAATACCACAAATTTGTAGTTTTGTATGTAAAAATCTATGAAAAAAAAATTATGAAAACTACAATTATTTTTGTTTAGGAGGGATTCCTACCCTGTAAAAATAAGGAATTGTAATATGCAAGTATCTGGGGAGCCCCATCAAAGTGCTGGGAAAGCATCCAAGAAAATCAGTGAAAAGTGGTTGTAGCAAAAGCAATGTTCTTTTTCATGTTCTAGGAATTGATTTTTTCTTCAATGTTTGTCATGCAGTAAGACTTTAAAATCAAAGATGGCTGCAAGGGAGCTGTTATAATTAGAGAATGTAAAACACATGTAGCAGTTGTGGAATGTTGATGTTTTTGGAATAGTCCAGCTTTATAACAACCTTATCTGGCATAGTAGTACCATGTAAGGGTACTATGGCAAGACAATTTTATAGACTTTTTCTCATTTTCAGTCTCACTGCAGCAATCTTCTCATTTATATTTTTATGTAAAAAGATTTTACTAATCCAAATGAATTGAATTTGTGAGCACGAGCATTTTTATATTCAAAATTATAAACAGAATGGTTATTATCGTTAGTGGGGTTTATAACAGGTTTATTTTTTGTGCTGATGTTTGAATAGAATATTGGTGTATGTATATCCATTCATGTATTTTAATTTTGAATTGTTTTGGAGTTAACCATTTAAAAATGGAAGTCCTTTGAATTAGATGATTTTTAGTGTTTTGTTTGCTAGTCTAGTGTTTCAAACAGTGATAACAGTATCTATAGAAAGTTTAACAAGTCTGACTTGTGAGTTATCCAGTATTCCTAACTACTTAAATAAGCTGTATGTGTAAGGGCAAAACGAATGCTTAACAATTCTTGAGTACTAGATACTGTTGCCTTGTTTCAAGGGCAGAGGTTTTCTTGGAGCTCCTGTGAATAGTGTTTTAATGTAGATGTTTGAACCAGACTTTGAGTGTTAGAAACCTGATTTGGAAAAATGTGATATGAATGATAGAGATTTCATTCTAATTCCATACACATTCAGCTCAGTTCTGCTACTTTTTTCCCTGTTGTAAAGTTGCTGTTTTTTCACACAATTCATTCAGTTCTTTCAGAGAAACAGGACAAGCAGTTTGCCTCGGGAATCCAAATCAAGCTGATACAAAAAGCCTCATTTCCATTTGAAAAACACCAAGGCAGTTAATAAGATTTGGATTTACTTTAGTTCACAGAATCATTCATTCCTTCTCCCTCTTCATCAGTGCTGAGATGATTTCTTCTTTGATTAAACCTTCAAATAGATGTCAGAGCTGTTTCTTCACAAAGGAGACTTTTTTTTGGACTTTGGCCTTAATTACTTTTCTTTGCTAGACCGAGCTAACTACCAGTGTGTTTAAATGCAGGAAGCGCACACCGATCGGATTTTATAAACAGTGCTGTCTTCAGTGAGTAGCTTGGCCCTAAACTCATTTCTGACACTTCTAGTTCAATTTTTTTTTCTAGTCTTGCTTACTGAGCTCTAATCTGTCTCATCCTTGTTTTTGGTCTAGTTCTTACAATAATTGCCACAACACAGATGTAACATGTATTTCCTCCCCCAAAACAAATGTAGGAAGAGAATTACTTTCAAAAGTTTCATATGGTTTCAAATGCAGCCTTTTAGTCCCTGCAGCATCATTCAGTTCTTATTTTGTTGTTTAGAGTTGTTTTCCTGGTAGGAATGTAGGTGCTGCCTTATTGAAACAAAATTATAATCTAGCTAATTGTTCTGTATCTGAGGACACCTAGTTATGAGATTCTTCAAAGGAAAGCGGAAGCTTTGTTGTAACCAACAACAAATTCTCTATGGAGTTAAGTGCGGGTATCCTCCTTCCTAGGATATTGCCTTGTTTTAAATGATTCTTTTTAACTGTTCTTGATCTGAATGCTATCAGAAGCAAACATTATTCAGTAATCTTCACTCTAATCTTAGCTGAATTTGCTGGCAGCAAAATCCTACTGCAAAGGTAGAAGGCATCCATGAAAACCTTGCCTGTGGCTTTGTACAATCAAATCTCTTTCCTTTGTCCTGCTCATTTAATGAAAATTCTGGATGGTTAGGAGGTGGAAGATACTACAAGCTACAGAAATGTAAGAGCCGGTGCATGCTCTGTTATGTGGCGGCTTGGCCCATTTTATTCAAAGAAAATGTGCTTTTAAAACAATTTATAACATATAATCCTCTGTTACTTCCTAATCCTAAATACAATTTATGACATATAATCCTCTGTTACTTCCAGAGGTAATGGAGACGTTCTACTGAATTTTGAAAGGTTACTACATGTTTAAAAAAACTATTTGTAACTATTTTATTTTGGGAGTGTTTTATACATCAGTGGATGCTCCATTAGTCACAACTGAATCAGTACAATAGCATATGCAGAACGCTGGCTGGGATAGTGTTTAAAGAAATTTAGAAATTATCTATAATATATAATGCTATGACAGAGGGACTGTTCCAAAAACTGGCACACTTCCTAATCTACCGAATGTTGCGGTTGTGTTCAACTTAGTTCATGGACTAAGCTTGACTTTTACTGTAAATTCCTCTTTCTTACAGTGTAAAATTTAATACCGTGGCCAGGCTAGTGAAATTAAGCTGTTTGATTTGGAGGAGAGTTCAGATGATATATAACATGGCCATTTAAATCTTTGGGGGTTTTTACTTGTTCTATTTTAAAATATTTGAGAATATGTTAATGGAGTTTTTCTGCACACACAGGTGTTTTTGGAGTGAGGTGGCTGGGTTACTAGTAATAAAGGTTTATTTAGGTGTCACTGGTGACAAAATCTTCCTGCAGTTTTAAGTAACATTCTGAATATAGTTTAAAAGATACATTCTATTAGGTGGGAGGTAACAGCATTTTTTTTAAGTGTATTTTTGAACATAAAGTCCTTGTAATAAGAAGAGAGGAAAAAGTTTGTTTTCGTATTTTCGTAATTTTCGTATTATAAGTGCCTCTGCCAGACAGGGACTTGTGAATATAGAGCAGAAAACAAAATTAGGAAATACATGCAGTCGGTACAGCTTTGGTTCTTGGAAAAAAAATCAGACAATTTGTAAGCATATTAAGATTAAAAAAGAGATGAGTAACAGCTAGCATCAATTTGTTAAGACCAAATCATGTCTGATCTATCTAAATTTATTCTCACTGTTGCGCATGAGAGAGCAGCAGACATCATAGACTGTGACTGTAATGAGATTTGTTTTTAATGTAATCTCCTGTCTTTTTGTGCAAATGAAGTAGAGAAATTTGGTCTACCTTGCATGATGAGTGTAAAAGCAGTTAGAAACTGTTCACAGTATTTATCAGAAGTTTACTCTGATGCAGCTATAGGTCTTAGACCTCACCTTTCTTTACAGCTCAGTGTAAGAAAGTGGGTGTTTTTGGATTGCTCAAGTAGGAGTGTGAACCTGAGGATCACTAAACACAGTTGCAAAAGCATCCTGTGCTCAATAATTGTGCCGATGTTCTGTGAAAAAATCACAGTGTTAAATAGCCTTTAAAATATCTGATTTCATAGTTGAGCAGTTTCACAGTAGGCTGCACTATAAAATGAGCAGAAACATGTGTTCAAGGTCTCTTTAAATATTTTTTTCACACTGTGTATGTTACTGGTGAGCCTTTACTGAATGAAGAATTAAAGCACTTAAGGAGTATAAAGCACACTGTAAAGATGTAGTCGATACTGTTAGCAAAGTTGTTGAAATTAAAGATTGAAAGAAACATTTGCTTTCTTTTGATCCTGTGTGAATTTCCATCCTGTGAGGAATAACAACCTCTCACACAGCAAAATTATCTGTGGAATGGATTTTTCCTGAATGAACTAAACAGATTTCCAGAAAACATAATTTTCTATAGATTGCGAGGTGCCTGAATCTTTGCTGTGCTGCTGTTAGGAACTAAAATACAATAAAATATATACAATAAATGTACAATTTTATTCAATAAAATCTGTTGTATACTATTATAGATGTGGGATTCCTCAGCTAAAAAAAAGACATCCCTTCCACTATTGAATACCCTATTTCATAATATTGGATTATACAAACTATACTGTTCATATCATCTTTCAAAATGATCTGATCCTTTCAGAACCTCAATAACCCAGTAAAAATAGTCATCTGAAGAAAAGATTTCCAGGGAAATTCTTTATAAAGAATGCATCTTGGCTGTGCAGCCCAGCAGTTCTAATATCCAAAATGGAAGTGCTTAAGAAATGTGTATGTTAGGGAATGCCATTCTGCTTTTGATGGTGGCAGGGCATTTGATTCAGGCATGTTTCTGTGGCAAGCAGTCTGGCTTAGATTCTCTATATTGTGTAATTTTTGCTCTATACAGGAGTGTTTTATTGGTGTACTCTTGTGATTCTCCCTTTTTGAGTGTTTGTTCCCATATTTTCTTTCTACATTCTGGTCTCTATTTTCTTTGGCATAGTGGGGAAATGAAATTTATGCATATATCTAACAAAGCCAAAGTCTTCAGAATACTGTTTGCTCATCTTCCAAAAACAGAGGTTAGACTGAGTGTCACTTTGGGTAGAGGGGGAATAATAAGAAAATAGGGGCTACTTCTAAGGTATTAATTGAAGAGTCTAAATTTTTAAAATTAAAGCATCATGATTGCTCCTCAGACCAGTCAAATATCTCATGTGGTTAATGTCCACACCATACGGTGAGGTACCAGGAAAAGGAAGCAAGTTAGACTATAAAGGTGCTCCATTTGTCTGCCCAGGCTTGCTTCATGGATATTAGAGAATGGCCTGAAATGATCTCAGTGCTATTAATGATTGTCACAGAAAACTTTTGGATAAATAACAGATTATGTTAGACAAGAAAAGGGTAAAAGCAATGCCTATCTTTATCTCTAAGATTCAGGGGAGATGACGTAGGGAATTAGAAATTTAGTTTCTAATCCTGAGTAAATGATAAAATTATTTGGGAGTAGAGGATGAGATGGGAAGATGGGATAATAACAGATGGTGTTAAAGCAATCTTATTTCTTTCTGTGGAGTGGGAACAGATCTTGTAGTTGGCAGAGGACTTGCATCTTGAATTTAATGCGTATCTTTTTTGGTTGTGTCTTATGTGACTTTCTCATGCCTTAGGCTAAGGAACATGGTCTAGAGTATCTGTTGGGGGCACTGTGGGAGGAAAATGAGTGCACTGGGGGGAAAACCAATGTCTTGCTGTGCAGTTAGAAAGAGGTCTCGGGAAAGTCAGCTAAGCAATTACTGTATGTCAAAAGGTTAGAAGATGAGTTTCACTAGTTCACTTGGTCAGTAAACTTTATGGAGGTTTATGGAGGCTTGGTCTGTTGTTGCATGTCCTTTATGAAACTTAATGGGATTCGCACAGGTAGGCTGAGGCTTTTCCAATTCCTGGGTATGGTGCAGTAAAAGCACTTCATTATACTCCTGGAGTTTTTATTATGCTAGGTGCTAGTAGGAACTAAGTTCCTTCGAAGCAAAATGTTATTAAACTGATTGGTGAGCCTGCAGAGCAAGATGAATATGACTTTTTTTTAAAGCCTGCAAATGATGCCTGCCAGTGGCATTAATGGGAGCAATTTCTTGCTTCTGCTTCCCATGATTCTTTTATTTTCTTCCTTCTCTATTTTATTTTATTATTTGTTACTGTCATCAGCGTACTGAAAGCTTCCAGGAAGAAAGAGACCACCGAAGCCTTTGTTGCCCTTGTTACTTTTCATTTCTCTTTTAGGGGGAAGAAGTTCATGGGCTGGATTAAGTCTTTCCTTCAGTATTGACAGAGGCCCTTTAGATCTTGCATTGATCACTGGGATGAATGCATTAAAAAAAAAAAAAAAAGTATAAAAGGCTGTGTTCTTGTAGAATAGCAGTTCCCACCCATCACTAACTTTTTTTCTGGATGCTTAAGAAAACTTATCTTAAGGCAACTTGCTTTTGCTGGTAATCTAGATTGATGAATATTTTAAGAAGCTCTTGTCATAGGATTTTCAGCGTTTGACTTCTTAAGCCCTTTCTTCACTGTGGCCTATGCAGTCATTTTGTTTGATGTAGACCTTTATAGATGACAAAAATATAAAATGTAATTCAAAATGTCAAACTCAAAACAATGTTTTAATCTCAGCCCATGCTACTAATCTAAAATGATATTTCAGTGACTCTATGTTAATAATATGAATTTGTTAGGGTAAAAACAGTGGGGAAAATCCTATAAATTAATGTAGCTGAATTCCATTGCCTTTGAAAGTGCCTGCAAGCCAGTGATCCTAACCACAGGATCCTGCAAAGATTAGTGTACACAATTAGATACTGAGAACAGTGTAGCCATGGGAACAGGCAGTGCTTGGGTATGATGTTATGCAAATTATTTCCCACTTTGAAAATGAAGTTTCCTCTCTGACTTCACAGAATTATAAGTAAACAACTCGAGTGGAGTGCAATTTGAGATGTGGGATTTCTGTGCAAAGAGTAGTGATTTTCTCTAGCTGTTACTTTTATTCTACGGAAAGCAAGACTATGGCCTCTTTGTAGAGCAACGTTTATCCATTGGATTTGTAGACTTAACCTGTCGTGACAACTGAACCAGGATCTATGTGGAGCTCTTCTCCTTAGTGTGCAAATCCACTTGTTCTCTCATAGGATGGGGTAGAATCCTGTGAGCAGGATGAATTGCATGTGGACGGAAATCAGTGTATTCAGTGTCTCAGTAAATCCAGGCAGCACCAGGTACTTAAAATGTGCTAATATAAATGTATTCAACTTTCACTGCCTAAGTAGTTTTGAAAGTGTATTAAAGTACTTCAATTTATGCCCAATTTTTCAACTTCTTCTCATTTTGTTTTAGGCAAGCAGATATTTAGCAGCCAAAATGAATTTAGAATCACCACCCTGAAGTTCTACCCTACAGATTCAAATATTTTCATTTGTGGAGGGTTCAGCCCGGAAGTTAAAGCTTGGGATATAAGGAATTGCAAGGTAACTTTTTTAAACCACTTCCCTTTATTTGATATACCTTCATTCAAGGAGGGTGATGAAGGACACTTTTTGGAGAAAGGATGTATGGTAGTTAACTGCCCTTGCTAAGTGCTTGAGTGTGAGCAGTAGGTCCATTTACATAGAGAAAAACTTTTAAAAGCAATTTCTGGGTTTTTTTTTGATTGTGTATTTGTTTGCTTGTGTTTTCCAGTTTTGTTAACTTTTATGCAAATATTCTAAGTACTCTACTGATGAAACTATGTCATTCTTTAGTAGAAGTTATTAGGGATTAAATGTTTTTAAATTAACGTGCTAGAATTTTTAAAACTATATTTGGAAGGAATTTACTTCTGTTCTAAAAATAATCTCATACATTCCACTCCATGTCCACTCACGTTGGAATCTTTGACTAATATGCTACTCTGTATTTGGTTTTTATGATTTGGCATGCTTCCGAAGCATCCCATGCTGTAACTGCCAAATATTGACCACCAGTTTTGCCTGCTGCACCACAGAAGATGCCTCCTGCAGAAATGCCTGCATGTCCTTGCAGCAAGACTGGAGAATATTGATTCACATGGGACACTGATAATCTTGGAAAGTCTTCTCAAATCAACAGGTTCTGAAAAGGAGAGCAGGAAACGCCTTCATATCCCTCACCAATGATGACAGGAACAGGAAGAGGGCAAGCAGAGGGGATGTAGGACACAGTCTGCATGAGCCGTGGTAGTAGTCGGGAGCAGGCACATGAACTGAGAGGGAGGTTGCAGGACAAGATGAAGAAATAAGGAATGATGTAAAGTTGGGAAGGTGTTTTAGCTTATAAAGATACTGTTATAAGGTGGCACAGGAACAGACCAATACTGATAAACTGTAGACTTTAATAGCTCACCTGTTCATATCTTCTGTAATTCTGATAAAACCAAGCCTTTCTTGGTCTGATACGATCTAATTCTTGTATTTTGATATAAACTACATGTCTAGCAAAATTGCAGTGAGGTTTTCAGTACTTTGTCACTGCATAGTAATAAGAAATGGGGATGGAGTCACCTCTTGCAGGGTTGCAGGGAATGACATGGAAGCTGCAGGTGTGTGGGCATGCAGACCCACCAGTGAACGCTTTGGCAATGTCCCCAATTCATTTCCAGAGGACAAACAGGCACTGAAAAGGCATTTGTGTTTATGTAGGCCATTAGAAGTGAAATGTTAATAAACAGTCAAAAATCTATCTTTGATTTAAAGAGATGTGTGTACATGTTGAAGATCATAGCTGAGTGAAAGGGGAGAAAATAAACTCTGATTATGGCTTCCTTTTGCAGAATTAATACCACATATGCAAAATAATAAAGTATCAACTATAGAATAATTTGTTTAAGCATGGATTATCCATATTGAATGTCTGTTCCTCCCCAGTTTGGGGGATTTCAATAGTGTGTGTGCTTTTTTTTTTTTTTTTTTTAAGTACTCCTGTGTTTTCAGCTTATGCTGTTATCTTTGTTCAAGTGATACTAACAACCATTCTTTTCCATCTTCTACATTTATGATTATGGTCAACATTGGACAAATGTGCTGCCTAATATTTCAAAATTTATCCTGTGGTAATGAGTACTTTTTGCTCTTAACTGAAGTAGGTGGTTAAGGGCTTGTTCTATGTAGTTTCAGTTTGATGCAAAACTCCTTAATATCTTTGAAGTGCTTTCATCCTAACTCATTACAAGATTTTCCTTGCTGTTATCCGTTTGCAGTAGCTTTGGTCCTCTTTTGCCTCAAAGTATGATTTAACTTGTCATTTGGCTTGGAATGATTGTGTGGGTGAAGTAATGATTTCCCCACATCTCCGCCCTCATTATCAGACTCCTGATGGCGTTTTCAGGCCTTACAGCCTCTTTTGGTAATATAATGAATATCCTAAATCAAGTGTTTGAGTCTTGTTATTCACTGCACATTGAAAACTCAATTTCAGTGTTCATTCAGTTTTGAAGGTGGTGCTTTAGAATGTATTCTTGTGTTTTAATGTGCTTGCACATCTCAAATTTAAATAATTAAGGCAAAATAACTATTATATTTCAAATGCATAACTTGATAAGTTATGATATGAGAAGTGGTAAGACTTCTCACTTAAGAGCTGATGTTGTGTCTCAGCAACAGCCCTGTGCTACTGAGAGAATTTTTGGTGGAGATTCAGAGAGAAATGATAAGCATCACAAGAATAGAGGGAATGATTTGTAAGAAAACTGTTTTCTGAATACAGATACATATTTCAACTATTTGGAGTGATTACTTTAAACCATTGCAATGGTTGAAAATACATGAAAATGTTTGAAGGTGTCTTCTAGCTACTGAATCCATGAGAAATGGATAGTAGTGAAATCAGAAAAGCAGATATCATATCTGCTCTACGTAAGGATTGAAAACTTTTATTTTTTCTATCCCTTTCCTGTTGAACAAATATGCAAAATGTTTTCGAATGTAGCCCTGGGTATAGTGCACAAGATGAACGAATGGAAGAACAAGAAGGCAGTTAAAATCTTCAAGGTAAAGCTAAGCAATACACCTCAGAGAAATGCATGGTTGGAGCAGCTTGTTAGCTGCTCAGTAAAATGCCTGCATACAGGCAACTACGTATTAGAGACAGGTAATCAAAGCCTGAACAAATAAATAGAACAGGCATTCAAAAACAATTTGAACACATTATTGTGGTACTTCATTCTGTTTGAGTTAAACCCATTTTTGTCTCTCTGGAGAATGGATTTTTCTGGAGACTCTATATTGCTGTAACTGTATAATGGTTTTATTAAATTTATGTACGATTTGGAGAATGTGTATACAGATGTTTTAAAAAGACCAGGCATTTTTGAAGAGAGCTGCTGTGTTAAAGGGAAGCAGATCTCGGCAATGTTGGCCAAAGGGACAGCATCGTGTAGAACAGGATCCCTGCAGAGCCTTTGAACCTCCCAGCTGAACCTGTAAAACCAGACAGCCCTGTAAAAGGATCCACGCAGTAGCACTGACATGTTAAATGAGTATTTTAAAGGTGTTCCCTTTCTCTGCCGGATTGTGGAGAAATCTTAAAATGTCTGCGCTAGTTGCATTGCACCATCATTTCCTGTTCTGGCTGATACACATTCGCTTACTAAGATTACATTGTTAGCTTACTTCAATTGCATTATTCCAACCATTTATTCTACCTGAAACTTTAATATTCCTTAAAATACTGAAGCAGAACAAAGATTTGAGCTTGGATCTTTTAGCTCAGCATGAAGGATTTATTTGTTTTGACAAAAACAAGATTAAAGCTAATTGCTTTAATTTTTTTAATTTTGGATTCCTGCTCTCACCCACTCTCAATATCCATTACAATTTGTAATGGGTAGTAGTAGCCATGTGCATTTCTGAAACTGAAGCCTTATAAGATGTAGAACAAATGAGAAAAATGGTGGAAGTAGTTATTTTGAACTTCTAAAATTCCAGACTGGAAATGCACTACAGAATTTTTACTCTTAATAGAAGCAAGGGCAGAGTACCAATTCTGAGCAGTTCTATTCTGAATTGAACATGGTTACAATTTTGTTGCTAAGTTAAACAATCATAAATAGATGTATCCTTTTTAAAAAGAGATACTTCATATATTGTTCATTTTTGTGTTTTATTTCTTTTTTTGTTTGAATTTATAAGAGCTAAGTCTAAGAACTAAGCCTAAAAATAGTTAAAATGAATTTGGAGTAAAAGTGCAGTGCGTTTGTTTTCCTGGAAACATTCTATTGCAATTTTTAAAAAGATTTTTAAAAGATGCAGCCATTTTAAGTAGCACATTTAGAAGGCCTAATGAATTTGTCTCTAGATGGCACATAAATACAAAAAAGCTGTAGAAATTGGTGGAATTATTTGCACTTCTGGTTTCTATAGAAACAGCCAATACATAGTCATGAACTGGTGGAGCTGCGATGAACAATGTAATTAAAATGAGATGATTTATGTTGCGCTTGAGAAAACTAAAGTTGTTATTCTTGCATTCTGAGACCAATCTGTACTGAATCCAAGAAAAGTCTGAAGAAACGTGGTGTGGATAGATTTGCACATGCATCATGGTGCTTGCTCTTAGTTTAATATTAATATGAATGTGCTATTAACATACTGTGGTCCTTTTGGCATATGAAAGCCCATATTATTGTGGCTGCAGTGTCTTCATGAGCAGTGCCTGTGTGTGTCTGGAAGGCAGAAGTGCTGATATTGCAGGAAGAGGCTCATAGATCCGTCTGTGCACACAGCCTCGTCAGGAACAGGCACCCATGGAAAAGGGGAGCCCTCCAGTCAGCCAGGAGCAAAGCCGACCTGCTCCTGGAGCACGGCTGGGAAGCAGTTGAGGGTGCTGGGGAATAGCCTGTGCTATCCTGCTCAGAAGGACCAGGCAGCCTGTAGTTAAAACGGATTCCACAGGTGGAGTGCAGGCAAGGGACTTTATGGGTCCCTGAAGATTAAGAAATTTTGTGATTGATTAAGGACACTTGTGTAGGGACCGAGCTGAAGCTCACTTAGTCCTGTGCAGTACCTCCAACAGTGGGCAGTGCACATTTGAAACAATAACAACAAAAAAGTAGGGTATACTTCTTTGTAATTACCAAGAAAGGTTAAGGTTATGCAGATATTTCTAAATTACAATTCTGAGACTTTGAGAGACTGTCTGTGCCTTTCATATCTTTCTGTGAATTCATTCTGTGAAATTACTGATTTTTAACATCCTGTAGCAAGGAATTCATAAATTTAAATATGTGCTTTGCAAAGCATCATCTCTTTCTGTATGTTTTGAAGCTACCTTCTATTAGTTTGGTGTTTCTATTCCTATAGAGGACACTGTTCAATCTTCGTTCAGACTTACTTATTTTAGCTTCTATGAAATTCCCCTCAGTCATCCCACTACTTGACTGAAAAGTCCTTGATTACTGTTCCTCAATAGAGAAATCATTCTGTATCTTTCAGGTCCCTTGTCTCTCTTCTATGTATAGATTTCACTTATGTATCCTATTTGAGATGGAGAGACAATTGGAACAGGAAAATCTGATAAAGTATTTCAATTTCTACTAAACTAGTGAAACTTTCAGTCATAGGATCCTCATGCCTTCTCCAGCAAGTCAGTGTATGCAGTGATTATAGCTTAAGTCTTATAGGTCAATATGAGATTAAGATCAAGCTTCCTCCTTTTAATTGGTGGCCCCTCCCATTTAATTAGGAGAATGCTTATACAGTCTTGAGTATCACAACCTTATCGGTTGCAAACTGTACAAAAATACTGAAATAGAAAAGCAAAATACTTTTTTTATCAACATAAAAATTGCCAGGTTTATGTTAAAATTCTTTAAAAGATTTGAACAGTCTAACAGAATACAAGCCATACCATTCTTAACCTTTCTGTTTATGGTATTATCAAATGTTTTGATTAACATTGCCGTTAAGGCTTGCTAAATGGGGATCAGAAACATGAATTGGATTTGTTGCTTGTTCGCTTGCTATTATAAAGTACTTTATTTTTGTTTTTAGTGTGCATAAGTAGCTAGAAAGCCAAAAGTACTCATCAACCTCAACACCACATAGAAAATCTATAGAGATTAGTGTGTGATTAGAATGAATTATTTCACTCTGTGAGAGTGGCTCATTTAAACTGTGATAAATTAGCAATGGTTCCTGTCAGCACAAGTGGCTGCCACTGCAGTAAATGTTTTTTTTTCCGCACAAACTTTTTTTTTAGTGTGAAATGCACATTTTCCTGTTAATTCGGATGTAGCACTGTTCCGCAGCCGAAACTTGATCAGGCTCCCATTGTATTAACCCAATGTGCTGTTAGGAAGAGGCAGGTCCATGCCAAAGCACTCAGTCTAAGGTCGGATAAGAACTAGAAAAATAAAATATAGTTGCTTCACAGGTTGGGAATGCAGGCACAGACTATTTATTGATTTTTCCATGATCATTTAGACCTAGTCATGCTAGATTTTGGGACCCTATCTGCTGATTCTCAGAGCAGTAACTATGTAAAAATATGCCTGTCTTGCTAGGTTTATATGAAGATTGAGAGGGTTTTTGGTAAAGGAGTGCATGTAGGTTAGGTGGCCAACATGGAGCTGCGGAGAGCTGCAGATTGTGAGGCTTGGAGCTTTCTTAAAAAAACAAAATACAAAGCATTGCATATACCTTATACAGAGAAGTATGATGAACCATCCATACAGAAATACATAACTGGAATTCACCATTGCAGTATGCTTTTCAAATCACCAGAGCTATAAGAATCTGTTTAAAACTGATTTAACTTGCTTAAATTACCTTTCTTGAAGAATGTCTGCAGCAATAAACCTTAAAGAAGCTTTATTATTATTATGCTGGATTTTGTTGACACCAGAAACTGTTGGGCTTTCCTTTGAAAGGATTTCTTTTGTGTCCAGAAAATTTAGATTAAATTTTCAAAGGCTTATGGGTGATAAATCTGCAAACAGAAAAAGAACAAAAACTGGCTTTAAACTAAAGCCATCAGGGAAGGAAGACAGATGCTTTTCTTAAGCCAGGTCCGTGGCATGCTATGAATTAATTGTCCAAGATGGAATAAAGCAGGTTAAATTATGAGTGCTATTTAGAGCATGGATGTTGCAATTACTTATTTTTGAAAGCTATCTTTTCAGGGGAATTTAAATATTATGTATGCCAAATTTCCCGCTGCTAATGTTAATTTATTGTTCTGCGTCTGTTCACTTGACCATCTCTGGTCAGATGATTAAACAGCATTGTTTTCTCAGGTAGGCAGCAAAGATCTAGAGAAAATTCTGCAGCAGAAAATTATCTTTATAGAATTTCTACAGTAGACTTAAGCAGGGAAAATTGGTTGAATGTCTTATTAAATAACGAAGCAGTAAATAAGCAAAATGGTGTGTACGGGTCTGTAAGTACTGTTAGAGGTTTTCTGGAAGCCTCAGGTACCTGAAGACCCAAATAGCATGCTGGATTTTGTTTTCATCTTGAACATCTTAAAACATTAAAGAATTGCTGCACTGTTAAGGGATTGCTGTTTGGCACTTTATTGTCCTTCATTGCTGCATATTGTGCTTCTGCACTTCCTGGAGCTCACTGGCCTTTGCCTGGCTCGGCCGCCTCTCCACGTGTTTGTGCTGCTGCCTTCTCTGATCTTCCCAGCTCCAGGATGGACTCGTCCCTTCTGTATAGGTGCCTGTTGCTAAGTAACTGCCTCCATCAGGTGCCTGCCTGTCGGAGCATCCCTCTGCTTTTGTAACACCTTATTTTTCTCTTTTTTTTTTTTTTTTTTTCCCTTCCCCCTCCCCTGCCTTTCAATTTATTTTCAGTTCTGGTGCAGTTGTGCAGCTGTCAGGGTTCTCTGTGGTTTCTATTTTTCGATTAAGGCACCTACTATAAACAGGATATATCTGTTTTATTTTACTACTACGGAATAGCCTGAATATTCTACTTTACTAATGAACTATGGGCTCCTTGTTTAACTCTTCAGAGATGTGCGTGGCAATGTCTCCACAGACAAAGTAGGGTTTATAAGTATGCAAATATCACTTTTGGATTTACAAAATTTAATTGTGTTGTCTATTTTGAAAATAACTGGGATGAAAATGACTGGCTAGAGCAGTAATGCATTTGCGTATTCCTTTTCTTAAAAATGGAGACAGTTTCATTCAAAAGCAGTTTTTCATTCAGCAGGTTCACATCATGTTGGTCTCATTCAAATATGTGCACGGTGCTTGCATGACTTGCACTTTGCCAAATGCAAACATTGTGTCTGAACAGAACTTTTCACAGAGCCTGAGAGGCAATTGCAGCAGCTGCTGTGCTGAGATCACGGGCAACGGAGCTTTGAAGGGACCTCAGGAGAGATTGCCTAGTACCTCCTTCTACTCTAAAGCAGGATTACCTAGTTCTGAACACTTCCAAAGGGTCATAGATTTTGGGCTTGAGGCAAGAATTAGGAAATACTCATGTTGTATACAATATTTTAAGTTGTTTTTCTTCTGTTGGTTAAAGTATAAAGCAGTGGTTGGGGGTAGAATCCAGGAAATTTCATTGCAATAGCCAAAATGTATTTTTATGAAAGTGTATATCCTTACAGTACCTAGAAAAGTGCCAGGCCCATGAGCTCAAGTCATCTGCAATGCTGTGGGCATAGGGCAGGCGCTGAAATGCCTCCCAAAGCTGGGAATCACTTCAAAAAATCTCTGTGCTTTGCAGGCATTTCTAGTTAGGTTACAAGACCAATTTCTGGGCAGCCTGGTAGAAGTGCAATCCAATATTTCTTAGCCATCTTGAAAAATTTTTATATTACAAACTAAGAATTCCAGTATTCCAATTTTAAGGATCATCACATACAGAGAGATGGGTTTCTTTCATGTGGCCATTTGCTGTGAAATCAGTCTTCATTTGGGGCAAATTAGAAAGCAAGGGTATTGATTTGGAAAAAACAAAATGGGCAACAATTTCAGAATTCTCTAAAGGATGGAAAGTAAGGAAATAGGAAATTGATTGAAATTATTCATATATTACTTAGAGTAGATGAAGCTCTCACTTTTTAGGGTCCAACTTGGAGGCTGTTAAAATATTTAGAATCCTGTAGCCAAGGATCAGTTTCTCCATGTATCCAACCCACTTTAGTGCAAGTCATGAAAGAGAGCCTCGATCTGGGAACTCCTATTTTCTTTTATATAGCACACTACTATGGAGATTATTCAAATGTAATTTGTTTCTATCCACTGACTTCTCTTAATCCTAAGTGATTACTCCCTGGTCCTGGAAGTGCTACTATCCTAAAGCAACAATCACACATGGCCAAAGTCTAAGAGGGTAAATAAGTGTGTGTTAGTAATTGCTGTCGTGTTTGACCAAAGCCTAAATTTGTTGTTGTTTCAATGTGAGTATGTAAATAGAAAATTCTTGCTTTCCTTTATGTATTGTTTAATTTCTTTGTGAATGGTTTCTTTACATACACTTGTATTTCAGCATTTAAAAATGAGCTACCTCTGCCACATTTTAAAATAATACGTATTTTATTAATACTTAGATCAATTTTTTATGCCTTTTGTAATCCATTAAACAAATAACACTCATGTCTACTAGGTGATAAGAGTATACAAAGCTGCAGTGCAGCAGACTCTGGACATATTGTTTCTTCCTGAAGGAAAAGAATTTCTTACGAGCACGGATGCAGTAAGCCGGGACTCAGCTGATCGCACCATTATTGCTTGGGACTTCCAAAGTGCTGCGAAAATCTCCAACCAGATTTTTCATGTAGGTTTAACAGTTATTATCATTTGGGTGATGATTTAGAGTTTCATGCTTGTCAGTGTGGTTAAAAAGCTTTTGATATTCTAGAAGATCATTGTGAGATTTATAAAATGCTCTTAATGTAAGTTCAGTTTTTGTAGTTTTTGCTTGTTCTTTAAACAGACTTGTACTAAGGCAAGTCCACTGCAGTATTACTCTAACTTTCCAGTGGTGTATGATGGTTGGTGCTTTAGTACCCTGTTTCTGTCCCCACAGGTTTCCTAGGATAGCAAAATGATCCACTTTTCGTCAATTGGAGTGAGGATTATTGATAAATTATATGAATTTAGTGTTTGCATGGTAACAGTAACCTAATAAATACATACTGATATGTAGTAAGGCTAAATCAGAGGCAACACCCTACCTGCCTGAGAAAAGTGTTTTTCTCAGTAATCCATGCAGGCAAGATGATTAAAAGCCTAAATCGTGAAGAGAGGCTGATGGCCTTGAGGGAGTTTGCTAAGGAAGTTCATAGATAAATCTGACTCCCTGTGGATTACGTTGTGCTCTCTGATTCCTTACTGCTAAACCCAGGTGCCCCCTCAGAAACATAAATATGACATCAAGTATGTCCAGCACCAACTGGCCAATGATGTTTTGATTTCAGTGCTCATACCTTACACTACTTAGAAACTTCCTTCCTATTTCAGCACATTCAAATAATGTGACAAAAATTCTGGTTTTGGATTCTTCCCACCCTAACCATGTAGTCCATTGTGCCCAGTGTTCGCTGGTGTCCCTCACTTGCAGAACTATCTATCCTACAGCTAAAAATTACTTCATTTGTATTCATGGCTTCAAAATTTTTGGCACTGTGTCCTTGGGTTAGACTGAAATTGGAAGAAGCTATTCTGTTTGGTTTGGAGCTGGTTGAAACCTTGCAACAATAGTTGGTTTCCAATGCTTTTACCATGTGTTGAGACTAGTCTTGATGCGGTGTTAAACAAGAACACTAGCCTAAAGCTAAACGTTGTTAACTTTTGCAGATGTTTCTGACTTTAAACCCAACAACAGTCTGAATGACAAGTCACTATCACAAGTGACTGCTGACTGTGACAGATATATTTAACACCTTGTTTTGGCAAAGTAGAGAAGAGAGGAAAATGGTGTCAAGATGGGGCGAATTATATTCCTATTCGTGTGGAAGAATTCAAAGGACTTGGTAACTGTATGAAGTAGTGCAGAAGGGACAGTGTGAACACAGAGAAACAAAGAGAGGTACTTTCATGTCCACATTTTTTTTCTCCCAAGGATTTTCTTAGGAAGGAAGAGATGTTTGGGTGCCATAAGGTGGGAATTGCCTTCCTGCAGCAGTTTTGTAGTACATCATTCAGAGGGAGACAGGTTCTTCATCAGGATAAATATTTGAATTAGTACTTGCCTTAGTGTAAGACTTCCAGTGGAGTGTGATGACTTAAGTTTCTTCTGTTTTGTAACAGATGCTATAAACACAACTTATGTTTACCTTGTGTTTTATGATCTTTCAAGTATGTGAAGAAATAACCTGATTCTTTTGAACAAATATCTTTTTTCTATGAAAAAAGCTATCTTTTATATTATTTTCAGGAACGTTACACTTGTCCAAGTCTGACTGTGCACCCAAGAGAGTCTGTATTTGCTGCTCAGACAAATGGAAACTACGTGGCACTCTTTTCTTCCCAGCGACCTTACCGAATCAACAAAAAGAAAAGATATGAAGGACATAAGGTATCTTTCTTTGCTGAAATTTAGTATTCAAGTCTACAAGAAAGAAAACAAGTATCTGATAGTGTTGAACTATAAGTGAATGGTAGATGTTAACTGGCTTGCTGCTTTTTCCTGTATTTTAATCGGTTTTGAGTTATACGCACTACCTACTTATTGGAAAACTTTGTGAACAGTTAATACCTTGATGAATTATTTGCTATACCTATGTCTTAATACATAACTGGAGAAATCATTGTATGTTTATTTGGAGATATGTTTTTGTACCGTGTTCACTTTCAGCAGATCATAGTGAACTTAACTATTTGGGATCAGGAGTTTACACTACTGTTTATTTTCACAGGTGGAAGGATTTGCAGTGGGCTGTGAGTTTTCTCCAGACGGAACACTTGTGGTGACAGGAAGTTCAGATGGCAAAGTGTTTTTCTACAACTATCACACTGCTAGGGTTGTTCGCACTTTGTCTGCACATAGGGAGGCCTGCGTGAGTGCAACATTTCACCCCGTCTTGCCATCGCTCCTTGCAACATGTGACTGGGCTGGAGAAATCAAGATCTGGCAATAAGAAGCCATACTTACTGTTCAGGATGTCTCCTGTGAGCCTATCAAAGGCATAGGGACTGATGTTTCAGAATGGAGAAATCAAGGTATGCAATGTGAATTTTAGTTATAGGTAGAAGTGATTGTTGTGGGGTGTTTTGTTTTTTTGTTTTTTTGTTTTTTTTCTTTTTTAAGGGCTAGACAAGCATCAGTGTGTTTCAATAGAAAACAGCTTCCTTTACACACAGGAAAGTATGTGGGCTTGCCTTTTTTGGAAATAGGTTGCCTTTTGATCAGCTCAGCTTATTGTAAAATGCAAGAGATTCATTTGGGATTTTACGTCTTTAGTGTAATAGAATTCTAAGGTAAGAATTTCAAGATATCTTGGAGTTAATTCTGAAAGTCAATGTGTTAGTGTTCTCAATCTCATACAACAAACTGTAAATATTTTTACTAAAAAATAAAACCCTATTTTATATGGTGTCTGTATTTCTTTTTTATTCTTGTTGCTCATAACAAGTTAGTACTTAAGACTCCCAGGGAATCAATACTTGGGAGAAAATCAATATGCAACCTTACAAAGGCCTAAAAACAGTAGTAAAAAGAAATCCTATAAGGAATATGGGAAGATTGCCTCATTTCCCCATACTTCTTCATTCTTTATATATTATCATGTTAGAAAATTGTTGCCAGGTTATTCTCTGGAGGGGGATGCTTATTGATCCTGTCAGACCCCATCCCATTCAGATGGGAGCTGGTCCATTCTGCAGCAAATAGAAAATTCATTAAGCATAACTCTGCATTTGTGTATGTATAGATTGCTTGTAAATACATTTTTAACTTTACATTCCCAGAACTTGCACTGCTTGAGTCTGGAAATCATTATAATATATTTTGTGTGTGTCTGTGTACACTGACAAACACATATTACATAGAAAATATGAATTCTCAACCTTAATTCTGTATAAATATAACATTATCATGCAGTAAATGCTATTAGCTTGGCTAATGTTGCTCGGACAGGTCTATAAAGTTATTTTAATCCAGAGGGTTGTTCTGAGTAAATTGTCTCTGTCATAGAACCCATAAAGTATGTGTATTAGTAATGTTTCATGAGTAGCTTTTATTCTTTCGACCTGTTCTTACACAAATACAGAAGCTCTTTACCATTTCGTACATTTACTTGCATAAAATGAGCTTTTTGGAGAGAGTTTTCTGGAAGACTCTTGCACATGGCATATTTGAATTAAGTAATGAGGAAAATGTACTCAATTTGTAGTTTGTGTTCCTTTTAGCTTAAACATAAGCCTGAACCAAGACTTTAGAACTAGTTGCACTTTTAGATTATTTGAAATGTGGATCCAAATATTGTGGCTTAAAAATGTGTATAGTCGATCTTTTTATCAGCAACTATGATGACTATCAGCAGTTATATTTTAACAAGGAGTACTGAATTTTAGGGAATCTTGCTAGAGGATTTCTCTCTCTCTCTCTCTGTCTCTCTCTCTCTCTCTGTCTCTCTCTCTCTCTGTCTCTCTCTCTCTCTCTCTCTCTCTCCAGACTGTTCTCATTTTGTTTTTTCCTTTATTTCCCCCCTGTTAGCTGTTCCATAGTAGCCTGGATTCTGCACTGCTATTCTTGACCGTCTCAAGCATACAAGCTAACTGCACTCTTTAAGTGATGACTGGTTCAGTGATTTGATGAGTTACTCCTATTTCAAGCTGTGGGACTAGGTTTTATGGGCTTCTTTCTAGATAATCTCCATAAATGTCAAAAGGAGTTCAGCTGAAAATTACAGGCTAAGTGCCTATTTTTTGGCAGGGTGAGTAACAACTGTGCTGCATTTTCGAAGAGTCTCTGTATCTCTTTCCAGTTATTTTTGCCCTAAAGGTGCTATTGCTGCTTTAAAACCCTTGGTAATGGGTTGTCTCTATGGGCAGTGCTCTAATATATCCTTTTATCTCTTCAAAAGATTATCTTGGGCTGTTAGGTGATTAAACGCGGTACTGAAAGGCCTCTAATATAAATGTAAGTCCATGTCTTATTGAGTCAGCTTGCTTGATGACTGCTGTATATCTGAATGAAGCTACTAAGAAAGATTGAAGCTGAGAGAGGCTCTGGGTAGAGTGAAAGATTTTAGAGAATAATTCAGTAAAAGGGGAATCATTGCCCATGTTGTATAGAAAAGTAGCCTCATCTTGTAATACTATCCATGTTCTTAGAGTTTATGTCCTGAGGCAAAGGCCTAATACAGATTCAAGTGTCTGGCATTTAAGCTTCCTAGAATACATTGCAAGTATAAATTTCAGACAATTTATAGGGGGGAAAAAAGCTTACATTTAAAGCGAGTAGAGAAGAATTAAAAAAAAAAATTAATGGTGTTTAAAAAAAAATGATAGTGCATAATTTTAAAGGAATTTTGAAGTTAGTATTACATTTGTGTCAGATTTTCAAAATGCTTGGAAGTTGAGATCCAGGCGGTTTTATAATTCAGTGAAATAATATTCAAAACATTATCTTGGTAAAGTCTTTCTAATGTAAAACTGATTAAAGCACAGACCAAAATATAATTATTGAAAATATTTTAGCAAGGTAGTATTTTAAGTTGATTTTAAGTTGTTGTTATGATTCAAAGATGAATTCTTCCTTACAATCTTATGTAATGAACTCTAATCAAAAAATACCCACATTGCTCTATCATTCAGCAATTACAAAATACTGTTTGGGCTGAAAATAAGGATTGTTACGATCAGAATAATTTTTAAGGAATATAATAAAATATTGGTTAATCCAATTCATAAAATGATAATCCAGAAATATTTGAATCTTGCTTTGAGAGTAGTTCTACCTTTGTTCTAGCTCTGTATATTGGATCTAAACTAACGATCTTCATTTTGAGATGATCTGGGCTTTGTCAATAAGACAGATTTGTTTTACTCTATTTTGCACTGTATGAAAAAGTAATAATGCCGCACTCTACCACATTATTATTTACTACTGGAGCATTATTAATTTAGTGTGTCAGAGGATGCAAATTACTCAGCTATGCCCTTATCTCAAAAACCTGCTAATTAACAGGCAGTTACTAGAATCACTCTGTTCGCTCAGCTGAAATACTGTTGATGACTCAAAAAATCCCTCCACTATATGCCTCATCAGGAAAAAATAAGGTATGGCAAGGCAATGGAATGACTTTTCCCGTTGGGAAAGACACATTTAAATCTATAAGATTATGGCAGGACAGAACAAAACCAGAAGATCAGAAAATCACGGGATTGCAAATTTTCCTTTATCTCACTTTTCAGTTGAAAAAAATGCAAAATGTCTTAATATGTACTCTGGTTTCACTGCTTTACCTTCAGTTTATTAATCCCATCCCCTCTTAGAAATTTCTTGCATTCTCATTGTTTCATTCTCAATTTTTCTGTCCCTTTGTCAGCACCTTGTCTTCTGCATTCAGTTTTCTAGTAGTTTGTGCTTGCATTGTGTTCATTTCCTTGTCAATACATTGCTTTTTATTTTACTAAGTTCTCTCTTTGGCCTTTCAGGCTTTCATTCCAGCTGTCCTTACAAAGGTAGGCAGAAGTTCCAAAATGCTTGCGCTCCATTCTCTTTCTCTGCTTTCCAGCCTTAATAAGACATTGTCCTTTTAGATATTCTCAGCTCTTTCCTCACTCTGTTTTCTATCTGCCTTTGGTTACTGCTTTACTGTCTTGTAGGTGCTTTCTGTTATAGGCTCTCCTGGAAGTTGCATCTACATCAGTGTTGTAGTTTGCTAGAAATGCACTTTTTGGGAAAATAAAAAATCTCCCAACTTTTGTCACTTTATAATGCTTCCGCCCTCCCCCTCCCCTGACAGAGTGCACAACAGCATTTCTTTCAGATGAAACTAAACCAAAAGATGAGCTCCAAAAGCATATTTAATGTGTGCCAACTGATGGGATTAGAGAAGAGTTACTTTAAAGTATCTCCTACCCCCGAAGGCATGTGGTTTAGATCTTGGATTCTCAGAAATAAATGAGCGAAGCTCTACAAATTACTCTTGCTGGGCCATACTACTTGCTAATGTAGATGTAGCCTCAGTATTTTCGAGGAGCCTTTGGCATGTTCCCTTTTCTTTGATATGTTTCTTACCTGTCTCTTTATGACTCACCCTTCTGTTCAGACTGGCCATATCTCTGATATTTTCACACTTCAAAGGCTGGAAATAAGGGAATTTGATTTATGAATGGTTGGGGGGGGACCTAATGAAAGAAATACTTGATCTCGAGTGATAGTAAAACTTCACAGTAAAACAAAGTGACCCCTGCACAGAATCTGATTAGTTCTTGCACATGTGAGGCCCTGCTCTCTGCGTTTAGGCAAAGCAGAGCAGAAACAGAGCAGGAGAGCAAAGGAGAATGGATATAGCTAATCGCAGAACACGAGAAGGAAATATGAAGAGCTTGATACAACTGATGCATACATTTTTAGGAACGGCATCAGAGATACATTGTATCAGGCCTTGAAAGTGAGGGTAAGCATGAGACATGATTAAAACAAACCAGAACGTCTATTTCTTAGGAGGCATTTAGATTTTACAACAGTGTTTGTTAATAAAGAACATACTGCACTTTTGGCCAAGGAGGGTGGCCATTCAGAAACATTTAACAACCTCTGGGGATGCCTGGCTGAAGCGAAGCTGGCAGATGCGTCAGCTGAGCACTGCCTCCTGCAGCAGGCCGGGTCCCTAGCGTTCTCCAGTGTTCTTAGCGGGCTGCTTGCGACTTCAGGGGAATTGCAAAATTTACCTGAGAAGCTGTATGCTTTCCTGGGCAAGTGGCATTTTGAGAGCTTTACAGAGAAGGTAGCAGAGACGTATGTTTTGTAATTAAAGATAACCCTTTTGGGATTCAAGCTCCTCTCATAATTTGGATTAGATCTCTGGTTTCTACTTAAGAAGTGCTCTTTTTAATAATCTTTTTATTTATGATGTTTTTCTTGGTTTTGAACATGCTTGCTAAGGTGTTACATTAAGTACATACCTTTAGGAATTTTTGCTGTTTACTGTGTTTTAAATACCTTTCAGATAGAGTGGAATTTGGGAGCAACAAATCCGAGGTTTTTCTGATGGTTTCAGCAATATCTTCTCTGACTTTATAA